TTCTAAAGGCCACATAAGAGGCGTTTTCTATGGACCATTGGATAACCAAGATTTGAACTATTCAAAATTGATGACTATATTTTGCGCCTTCAAACTTTTTGGCTCCACATTTCGGGTGGGCTCTAGGAAACTGATAATTGAATCAGATTCTAAGGTAGCATTGGTTTGGGTGAAGGAGAGGAGACTAAGACCAAGGGCTCTGTGAAAGACATTCAATGAGATTGATAGTCTTTGTAATGTTGTAAGTGACATCGCTTTTGGTCATACTCTTAGAGAGGCAAATGCCATGGCGGACTCTTTAGCTAAATTTGGTGCAGATGTTCTATGCATAACTGCGATATATGGGTTTACTTTGATGCTTGGGGGCAGTATTTGATTTGGTTTGGTCCCAGCATGATATGTTCTGTTCTGATGCTTCTCAGGCTTAGGCTGGGTGGCACGCCTGTTCTATCTCCTAAAGTTTCTTGCGTGCAGGTTGGGTTGTATTCTTGCAATGATGATGCAGTTTGTCTTTCTGATGATATTTCCGAATGTGTTTAAAGTAGGTATATGTTCTACTCTGAATTGGGTGGATTTGTATGGACAAAGTCCTACTTGATTTCGGCTCTGTCGGTCTGTGGCCACTCTCTTGGCTTTTTTTCTATCTACTTTATGATACTTAATAAAATTATACAAAAAATATTGAAAAAAGCTAACACCGGATACCCTCACAACTCCAAAAACTTGGTACAGAAAAACTAACTAGGGAAGTTACGAAAGGGATTTTGAATGAACTTAGCCACTTAGGGATAAAATATATGCCATGGTCATCAGCTCGATATAGCAGAAGTTTGGAACTGCTATATAAGAAAGCAAGAAACACAACTTACAAGTTGTTTTCTGTCAAAGAAACTTCTGAACGAGTTTAGATTTATTAGATCTCTAGTGAAATAACCAAAAAAGAAAATTATACTTTAAAAGTGTTTGGACTTTGGATTAGCCAGGAAACATATAGTATCCATATAAGAAAGAAGTTGTCGTCATTGAAGGAGTCTAATTACATAATTACATTTTTACTTTCTACTTACAGATTATATGCTACAGTAATGAACTAAAACAAAGAAAAACAGAATGTCTTCTACACTGCCTAATGAATGCAAATTAATATGCCTTGGCAAATGGTGGCGACAGACAGGACACTCTTGTTTTGTACGCAGCCATGGGAGAATGCAGTTGCGATGGTACATGTGCCAGCACGGTAATATCAGATTAAGAGCAAGGGACAGACCCTCTAAGCAGAGGGCACATTGGTCTTCCTCCGAGTCTTCTAAACGCCTGAGGCTACCCAACTCCTGAACCAGGTGGATTTTTACCACCACATCAGTGGTCGCACTGCCCCCATCTTCAATGCCGCCGCCGAAAACTAACTTTCTCGCCTGTTGCAAAAACTTGCTGGATATTTCTCTTCTGAAGCTGCGCCTAATATCGCCTATTTCTGGATGTTCCTCGATATGCTCAGAAGATTTACAGTACCATAACGTGATTTTCTTCAAGGATTGGTCCTCTAAT